AGTCCACCTGCAGTGCAAGTGCAGGGCAGGCACAGAGGCTCTGGAGGTGGGGTTCATGCTGGGGATGCTCTGGAGGCAGGGGACTCTTAAGAGGTGGAATGAGGGGCTGACAGTGAGGGGTACTGTGATGTCCAGGACTGGGAGGGGCAATTGGGTGCAGTGGGGCTCTGGAAACAGAAGGCTGGCACTGAGGCATTTGGGGCAGGGAGGCTGGCACTGTGAAGGTTGGGTTCAAGTGATTCTGGGGTCAGTGGCTAGGGCTGGGAGATAGTGGCAGGGTGAGGGGCTCTAGGGGTTAGGGCTGGCAGTGGGGGCTGGAGCTTTTTTTACCGGGGACCAGCAAACCCATTCACAAACATTTGGCAGACTGGCAACATGTTATCTGCATATTTGAATATTCATTATTTGCATAATGAATATGCAAATGTGCGAATAAAATGTTATCAGGCCTCCAAAATTTGTGAATGGATTTGCTGGTCCCCGGTATAAAAAAAGTTGGGAAGCGCTGGCCTTAACTATATGAGTTTAAACATAAGCACAGTTTGACTTCTGTATGGGGGTGGGAGGTCACTCCAGCCCAACGGAGATATGCATGAAGGGCATTCCGTACTTACCCAAAGTTTGCAGTTTTGCGGGGCAACACATCCCCCAAATACCCAAATATGGCCACAATTTAAATGTCAAATAAAATAGAGCTGAAAAAGTCCAGAGGTTAATAGCACAGATAGCTCTTTTGTTACCATTGAATAGTTCTCACAGATGCTAAAAAATTACTTAAGAAAAATTTTGTTATGTCTCTGTACTACATTTAACCCTCATTTGAGTAATAATTCAAAATTATTGTGATTTGCTTTGAAATAGAATCTATCAGAATTTTGACAAGGTTATATTAAAAGTAATAATCATTTCTGTGTCTTACTACTGTAATGCTACTTCAGAGAAAACTTTCAGTCCATTCGGGTACCCATTGCTTCTTGGATGAGCATGTTGTTTGTATCAATAGCAAGATAAAAGAGAATCTGATTAGGTCATGTTGAAGAAAAGGTTGTTCAATGCATGTTGAAGAGAGTAAAAATGAACAGAGAAATTTCAAAGTAGTTGCATAAGAGCTGGTCTATACTTAAAATTTTTGGTGGAATAGCTATTATGATCAGGGGTGCAATTACTTGCCCACATTCCAACCACCAAAATTATACCAGCAAAACCCTAGCTTAGATGCATTTATACGTCAAAAAAGGTCCCTTTGCTGGTATGATAGCATATTTTATTCAGGGAACTGACATAACCCATACAGACAAAAACACTCTTTTACAAATATAAGCAGAATCTAGGAGGGATTGCCAATACAGCTAGACCTTTTCTAGTGTACATGAGGCCAAAGACAGTGATTCACCAGTGCAAGGCCTTTAAAAACTGTTGAGGAAAACTAACTGAAGCAGATGCTGGAAAAGAGAGATAAGCACAGCTTGATAGTTATTTCCCCTCTCTTCCTTCAGTTTCTGAGCAAGCCTTCCTACAGTTCACAGTTTATTTCACCACAGTCACCAGAAGAGGATCAGTCCTATGACAAGTTAACTGTTATTTCAGAAGAATATGAAAACTGTAGCAATGAGACAAGCAACACAGAGGAACAGCTTCAGGACTCCAAAGAAGAGATTTCTATTTCAGAAGAAGCTTCAGCTTTCAAAAAGGGATCAAGTTCAGTCTTTATATCTGATTCAGGCTGAAAACAAATAACCAAAAACTCATTTAGATGTGACTTCATAGTGAGACTGTAACAGCAAGCTCTTGGTAAACTTTGATTTAAAATGTGTAAAGAGAAATTTTGTCAATCATATTTATTTTTCAACTCTGAGAAACATTATAAATGAGTCCTGTAGTAGGATGCAATTCTTAGCCACTCATTTTTAATGACTGACTTATTTATAACCTGTGAAATAATAATATTGCTCCATAATGTGGTACTACTTATAAAGTATTAAATATATAATTCATTTTTTTTATTGTATATTTATTATTAAAGTTGACCAGAATTGTGAATACCACAGCATAATTTTCAAAGGAAACTTTTCCTGTCCACAAAAACTTAAGATTTTACTGATTTTTGGTATGAAAATCTTTAAATTTTGTTTGTGATTGGCCTAAAATCTGACTAGTAGCAACTAGATTAATATTTTAGGGTTGATTTATGTATAACACTAAAATTATTAAGTTATTCTTGATAGCTATTTTATTAAAGTGGTACTAACAAATTTCATATGTTTTAAATGTGAGAAATTAGCTATGGGCCATACTTCCTCATAGGCTTACAGTGGAGTCAATGGAGGTATTACACCAGGGATGGAAAAAAAGTAGCCCGCAGGACAGATGTGATTCACCAGAGTTAGTCTGCCAGACTCTCTTTACCTGTGCATCTGTAGATACAGCTGCTTGCCATTCCCAGCCAATGGGAGCTGCGGGAAGTGGCACAGACCAGCCACTACTTCTTGCATCTCCCATTGATTAAGAGAGGCAATTCACAGCCAACAGTCTAGCCTGCGAGCAGCCTAACCTGCAGATGTGCAGGTAAATAAAGCATTTTGTGCCCTTGGCAAACCTGTAGGCCACTTATTACCCACCCCTGCTTTATACCCTTTGAGATTCTGCCCTAAGTTCTTATTGAAGTCAGTGAAAAGACTTTCCAAGAAATGGAGTTAAATATTAATCTAGTAGACCAGATGGCTTAATTAGTACTCAGTTCACAAATGATCAGTAGCTAGGATATACTTCTGTGCACATAAAAAAAGAATAGCTGCTGTAAGGGCAAAGAATACTGAGCATATACTATGATTTTACTGTAAGAGAAACAAGTCCTTCAAGTGCTGCAAAGTTATCTGAACATATATTAATTCAGAAAAATATCAATCTCCCTCAGAAAAAATGGATTGCAATGAATATATTATATATAAAACATAATTTGTTGAATGGGTGGCAACATTGTGTCATAATTTTTGTTGTTATATGGATAGGACAAATACGCATCTTTTAGAGAACTAATCATATATCTAGTAGCCCAATGTCTGAGACTCTGTAACACTGAAACGCTGGCTGTTCCCTCTGGACGGCGCTGTTGCCTCCTGCCGTGGCACTCGGCTGACTTCAGTGCCGCTCTGCCGGGCCCCCGAGGGGGAGTAAGCGGCCGTTTGGCACCACTTGCTCCCCCTCGGCAGCCCAGCTGAGCAGCACAGAAGTCAGCTGAGCGCCATGGCGGGAGGCGAAGGGGGTCAGGGTGGTGACATACATGGCCAGGGGGCGGGGCCTGGCTGTGTACGTCACAGCCCCACCCCACTTTGCCTCCCGCTGTGGCACTTGGCTGACTTATGTGCCGATCAGCCGGGCCACCGCGGGGGAACCCAAATGGCCACTTGCTCCCCCGTGGTGGCCCGGCTGAGCGGCGCAGAAGTCAGCTGAGCGCCACGGCAGGAGCGGGGCAGGGGGCGAAGGGGGGCAGGGCAGTGATGTGCGGCATGACAGCAGCTCCAGGCCCCGCACCCTGGCCGTGAACGTCACCGCCTCGCCCCCCTTCGCCTCCTGCCATGGCACTTGGCTGACTTCTGCGCCGCTCAGCCAGGCCGCTGCATGGGAGCAAGTGGCGCAAGTGACCGTTTGGGCTCCGCAGTCTCCCGAGTGAGAGGCAAGAGGGGGAGGAGAAGAGAAAGAGAGAGACAGAGAGAGAGGGAGGAGGCAGCGGAGAGCTGAGAGAGAGGGGGAGGCAAGAGGAGGAGAGAGGGAGAGACGGAGCGAGAGACCGGAGGCTCAGGAGAGAAGACTGATGTGAAGGAGAAACCTGAAAATCCCATCTTATGATAGGCTAATTGGCTAGTTCAGGAAGAATACACAAAAATCAAGAAAATGGATGTTTCTTCAACATATCACATTAATATGCTTAATATACAAATATATTAATATATTTTTTGTTTGTCTTTTAAAATATTAATGGACAAAATATCGAGGAAATGGAGGAAGGTTAAAAAATCATTTTCATAGGACAGAATTTTGTTGCAAGGACGTTTTTTCAGCAATTACTCTGATAGCTCCTTTTTATGTATTTCTTTAATCTAAATGTTCAGAAGATAAATATTTTTTATTTAATACTGATCCAAATTATGACAGATGTGAATAATATATTTTATAGATATACTGTTTGTATAAATACTAATTTTACCTAATGTATGTAAATAAATTATATAGTGACAAAAGTGTCTGATTCATGCAATATTCATTATACTCATTAAGAGTCAACTTTTTATAGCTAGCAAGAAAAAAAGTCACAACTATATAGACGCTGGTAGCCCCTCTTACATTTCCCTGCTTTCACACCACACTGTCAGGTAAACTGATTTCTGGGAGTTGGAAATAAAAAGCTTGAAGATAGATGTGATTTGTTTGACTGTCTCTCCATGGGCAGCAATTTTTTTAGTTCCGTTGGCAGGTGTCTAGTTAGGGTTGCCAGATGGTTAAAACAAAAATACCGAACATCCTCCCCCCCCCCCCCCAAAAAAAAAAAAAAACCAAGGAAAAATTCTGTTGAAGGGGGAAAAAAAGGAGAAGGGGAGACCAAAGGTGTTGAGCAAAAGAAAAAAAAACTCCAAGGATTTAAGCCAAAAAAAAAAAGTTAAAATAAAACAGCATTAAAACAGTATGTCCATCAACCATAGCTACATCTCTATTACTATGTCCCCTTTAAGAGTAAGTGCAGGGATAGGAACAGGGGAGCGGTTGAGCACTAAGACGCAGGGGAAGCATTGCTTCTCGTAGGTCTTTTGGCCAGCAGCCATTTTGTGCCAGCAGCCTTGGGAAACCAGGTAAGCATGGGGGCTGGAGTTGGGGGGCTGTGGGTGTTGGAGACCGGGGGGGCAGGTCGGGTGCTGAGTGTTTGTAGGGTTGCCAGGTGCCCGGCATTTTCACCTCCTGGCTGGGGAAAAATTCAGAGAATACCGGACATCTCAGGTGTCCAGTATTCTCTGAATGTTTTTACCAGACAGGAGGCAAAAATACCGAACTGTCCAGGTGAATACCGGACACCTGGCAACCTATGTCTAGTTGAAGCAGTGATTTAAGGAAGAGAGATCTATATTTACTGTTTACTTTTCACTGTATGAAAAGGAGCCTACCTGTAAGAGCTGTGCAATATTTATTTTAAAATAATAATAATTTGAACACAACACTCACAGCACAGTCAGGAAAAGCCCAAAAAAAAGATGGGTCTTACAGCAAGCCCTGAAGGATAAGAAATCCAAAGCCATTTTTTAAACCACAACAAACACTATGTTGTATAGTGCAGTGGTCTCCAACCGTTTTAAGTATGAGATCACTTTTTGAATTTAAGTGAAATCCAGGATCCACCTCAAACCCAAATACCCTGCCCCACCTTCTTCCTACCCCTTTTCCAAGGCCCCATCCCTGCTTACTCCATCCTCTCTCACTTTTATCAGGCTGGAGGTAGTGGACAGGGTGGGAGGGAGGGATGCGGTTTCTGATCTTGGGCTAAAGGATTTGGACTGTGAGAGGGGTTCTGATATGAACCTGGGGCAGGGAGTTGAGGTGCAGGAGTGGTGCAGGTTCTGGGAGAGAGTTTTGGTACAGGGGGACTCAGGGCTGGGGTTTGGAGTGCAGGAGGTATTCAGGACTGGGGCCAGGGTTTGAGATGCAGGCTCCAGCTGGGCATCATTTATCACAGGTGACTGCTGGGGAGTGGTGCAGGGAGCTAAGGCAGGCTCACACCTATACTGGCCCTGTACCACTCCCAAAAGCAGCCAACAAACTCCATCCCTGCCCTCCCTCTGCTCTGTGGAGATGGGGTATAGAGAGGAGGGAGGGGCACCCTGACATCACCACCCCCTCCTCCTCTTCTTCCATTGCCCTGCATAGCAAGCAAGAGACTCCCAGGGTTGGGAGGCTGCTCCAAGGCAGAGGGCAGGAGCAGCATAGCAGTGCCGAGAGGGGCAGATGAAGTGCCAGCATTTGTCAAAGGCTCCAAGATTCCGATCTACTAGTTAGTGACCACTGGTATACTGAAAGATTGTGACAGAGTGCTGTGAAACATTAGAACCCAGCACTCTGGTCACTTTTCAATCAATTAGGCTGGGTGAGGCAGCCGATTAAGGAGAGGATGTACGGCAGGCACCCACCCTGACTTCACCAAGAGATCTTCAATTATCCAAAACTCAAAAAGAAATCCCAAAAATGTGGGGACTAGGATAAATTACAAAGGATGAATAAAAACACACGACTGCATAGGGACAAAATTAAAAAGGCCCAGGCACAAAATGAAATTAAACTAGGTTGCGACTGTGATGGGGCCCTGCAGCTCAGCACTATAGAACAGACTGTGGACTGGGCCCAGCTGGCTGAAAGCACTTCTCTCCCATGGCCTTGCCGGGCTTGCTCACAGGTGAGCTGGAGTATAAGAGACCCTGAGACAGCTCACTCTGGCCTGACCGCTGAAGGGGAAGGACCTGCGGAGCAAGCCCTGGAACTGGAGGAGCAGATGCAGCCCGAGCCGACGCAGCAGCCACTACAGCAACTGCCCCGGCCCCAGCGACATGTTGGTGGTACGGTGACGGGGAGGCACGTGGGGTGGTAGAAAGTGGCCCAGGGCTGGGAACTGCAACCCCGAATGCTCAGCGTAGGGTGGCCAGGTGGCTGGTATTGATCCAGACAGTCTGGTATTTTCGCCTCCTATCCAGTAAAAATATTCAGAAAATACCAGACACCTAAAATGTCTGGTATTTTCTGGGGGTTTTTCCCCTGCCAGGAGGCGAAAATAATGGACACCTGGCAACCCTACGACACGCTCAGCAACTGGGCCCTGTCCCCCACTTACTTGGTTCTCCAGGGAAGCTCTCTTCTGGCTCGACCAAGAAAACCGGCACCGGCAAAAAGACCTGAGCAAGGGGAAGCAATGACTTCCCTGGGTCTTAGTGCTCAACCTCTCCTCTTCCTATCCCTATTGACTCTGCACGCACTTAAAGGGGCCATGCTGTTTTATTTATTTATTTATTTATTTTAGTTGCTTAACTCTTGGGGGTCCTTTTGGGGGGGGCTCAACAACTTTGGTCTCCCCCCTTTTTTTCCCCCTCAACAGGTTTTTTTCGGGGGGGGTTGGTATTTTTGGTTAAACTATCTGGCAACCCTAGCTCAGCATGTTGCAGGGAGGGAACCCCCACTAAGAACTGTCCATAGGGCCCTGGGATGGGACCTGGTGGAATGGGAGGGCCTGGGTGCCCCTACCCCACCGGCAGTGCTCCTAAGCACAGGTAGTTCCTTAAACCTGTGGACTAGGCCTCAGGGCCACATTTACCCCATAGAGGGGCATACTTCAGACTGGGCCACAGGGCCATATTGAACCCAGTAGAGGTGCACCACAAGGAATAGGCCGTATTTATCCCAATAGAGGGGTGTACTTCAAAGAGTGGACTGTGGGGCCATATGGACCCTGATAAAGGGGCACCACAAGGACTAGGCCTCAGGGCTGCATTTACCCCACTCTGGGGGAGCATTGCAAGGACTAGGCCTCAGGGCTGTATTTACCCCAATAGAGGGGGATATATTGAGAAACTAGGCCCCAGGCCGTATTTACCCCAACAGAGGGGTGTGCTATTCCGACTGGGCCTCGACGTCATAATGACCCCAATGTGATGGGAACATGATAGGGATTTAGGCCACTGAGCTGCACTGACCCCACAGAGGAGGTTCTGGGACTCTGACTCCAGCCATTGGGCTGTACAGACCCTGATAAGTGGACTCGTGGGAAGAGTTTGTGGGAAACAGCATAAGGGGAGCGTACCCCTCGACAGGGACATAAAGGGTAACAAGAAAACGTTTTACAAACCATTAAAAGCAAAAGAGAGACCAACGACAGGGTAAGCACATTACTCAACAAGGGATGGGAGGGAGGGGGACAATAACAGAACGTGGAAATAGCAGAAGTGCTAAAAGACTTCTTTGTTTCACTTTTCACCAGAAAGGTTGGTAGTAATTGGACTAACATAGGATGTAGAATATGAGGCAAAAATAGGAAAAGAACAAGTTAAAAAATACAGACAAATTAGATGTCTTCAAGTCACTGGGGCCTGACAAAATACATCTTGGAATATACAAGGAGTTGACAGAGGAGATTCATGAGTTGTTATTGCTTATCTTAAAAAACCCATGAAAGATAAAGATTCCAGAGGATTGGAAAAGGGTAAATATAGTGCCAATCTATAAAAAGGGGAATAAGGACAA